ACATAACTATCTTATTGTATTCCTTCCACAATAAGCTCTTGTTATACATTGTTCCTCTGCTCTAGGAAGCTAAACCCTTCCGAAGTGGCTTACATCGGTGAAGCCAGTCGGTATAGGGAAAGTATTCCTAACACCTACCCCCTGAAGTGGCGGTCAGCCTAAAACCTTTACAAGACTATAGAAGGGTGGGAAGAGTTATGAGGAATAGAGTAGGAATATACGCATGGTACAGCTGCGCTCAGGCCGTGGGTCATATACTCTAGGGGGAAGCAGTATTTAAACTATATATAGTATTTACTTTAGTTTTACTCTTTAGTCATCAGTTTTAATACTAATCCATACTTATTGCTCCCCATCCTGATATCACGCTTATATTCACCCCTTACAGCACTACTGAATAGATAGTTAATAGCCTCATCAGTTTACCTTACATGATAACTTAAGCAGATCACTTCTAGTGGTTCCGTGACAGATATTATCTAAGCTGGAGATTCAAACGCAAAAGTCTTATATAAACCCTTTAGGTTATATTTCACTTTGACTGTCTTTTTTCAATCCTATAAAGCTCAATTTCTATGATCTTAAATCCTTGCATTGCCTTATATCTTAGGCCATCATCTTGCCGATCAAAATACAAAGTCCAAAGACCTGGAGAATCTTCAACGGCACAGAAACCTTCCCAACCTTCAAATGTGAGACGTCGATCCTGTCTTGTACAGTCCCATGGACCATGGAGGTGAGGTTGTGCGTCTGCCCGTATACCGTATTTCAACTGGTATGTTTCACTATGAATATAGATCCAGTTCAAAATTGGTGCTTCATCCGTTATCGTAGAAACCAAGCCCTCATAGTCTTCATCTGGATAAGGAAGATAATATCCTGCAAATGGATGAGCTCCATTTGGCATAGTGTCTTTGCCAGGATCAATATAAAGCTATTAATAATACATAAGTACTTAAACTAAATAAGCATATTATATAAAGAAAGTCGTACACTACCATTCCATAATATTACTCGGTGCCCTTCGATCTCACTGCTCCGACTTGATGCTCGAATACATCGAGCGATCAGATTACATCGTCTGCCCCGATGTTCTTCTCTTTTCTCTTTTGCTTGTCCCTGGCGTATTGCTTCTTGGGTTCCAAGAAGTCCTGGAGCTGTATTTAGAGCTATTATTATAGATAAGACCATAGTATCAAAGACTAGAAGAGATATAATAATATAAGAATATTTTAAGTTGGTAGTAGATTTTACTCTTTTCATATCTTTTGCAAAGATTTTTTTATACCTCTTTAATTTAAGGTTTTTAGATTTAATATCAAGTAAAAAATATTCCTTGAAACACTATGCTACATTACTCGTCTCATATACATAAAGTGATATTTAAATTTTAGATCCAGACACTTTAGACTTTGAAATCACACCACCACTAACCTACCCCTGCACTTCTGGAACAAGCTTTTTCTGGAGCCATTGTCACTATAATCCTAGCTCTGGCCTGATATTGTAGGATTCAAAACACATACATCTCCTACCTAAGTTATAGAAGAGTTTCAGGTGTCATACTTTGGATATTCTCGCGTGGTGTTCCATGTCGAGGAACAGGAAGCTTCTGCTAACCTAACATACCCTGAGCTATTGGCCTTATTGCATTATTAACTAAGCAACCTTCTTTCATATAGCAAGACTTATATAAAGCGGATATCTACCAGTTCTTGATTGATAAAGCGACGTATTTGCACCAGAATTTGAAATTTAGGTTCTTCTCTTCTACTTAAGCAATCAAATTACGCAGTTGATCTGTTACTCTTATTATGGCAACAAAGTAAGAAATAAAACTTATGAGTAAATGTTTTTGCTGACATATAAAAATAGTACAAAGCCAGCCGTTCCAAGTATACAAGATCGTGAAGATGGACAAGCTGTTGGTGGGAGACGGTCACAGGTCAGCGTTGATTCTGTGCTTCCAACGTCTGCCGGACTCTCGCAGCCTGCTGGCAAGTTTAAGATATCTAAGTATCTGAAGAATACACTCTGATCATACTTAGGCCAGTTACTGAAAGGTGCAACTGATGACGAGGGAAAATTGAAGGCTGCAGCACTCATGGTTGGCATTAAACTAGACCTAGAAGCTGAGATCCACCTAACTGCAAGGGTGAGAGGTGATATTACTATTGGTCTGTATTAGAATCTGGCCGAGAAAATACTTAAAATCTTATGAAAATCCAAGAAAAAGAACTCTTTCACCGGTTCTTAATAGTTATATAGAAGAAGAGTTGGGCTCTCTGAATTAAATTCAGGATTTTCAATATTGATTTTTTAACTATCCATTTCCTTTTTTTTGAAAAAAAAATGCTTCCTCTTTAAAACATCAAAGGCTATCTAGCGACTGCATGATGGCATGACATCCCTGATTCAGAAGCCGTATAAAAGATTAATTAATACTAGGATGAAAATATCCTTAGCAATATAAAGTATCCTCTAGGATATTATTTTATTTTTTTTTAAAGAAATTGTCTTTATTCTGGTAATAGTTATTTCTTTCGACTGATGCATAGATGACGGCATTTTCTTCTTGCTCTCGAAGTGAAATTATTACTCTCTTTTAAAGATTAAGTATATATTAGCCATCAAAGCTGGGATCTGTACGTCTGGCTTTGATTTATACGTATATCTAGCGCCTAGAATTTCATATATGAGTTTGCTGCGACTATCTTTAGAAGTGAGATTAGAGGTAGCATCAGAGATCCTACTAGAAAAAGCGAATTTAAACATAGTGAGGCAGTTCTCATCACCACAGGGTAATATTAAAGATGTTAAGCCTATTATAAGGAATTTTGGTGGATAAGAAATGAAATATCACAAAATCAAAATTATACGAATATACTGTCAAAAATTTGTCGGAATCATCGAAGGCGCAGTATGTTTAGCCATATAGGAGGGACTAAAAAATTTGGTAGCTACAGTAATTTGATTATTATGGATAAAATCTAGCTTCATAAGCCTCCTCGGCTCCTCCTTAGACATCCTTAGAATGTTCGCCACTCTTTAAGCTATTATTAATTGTTTATCACCCGATCAAAACAGCTAATGTAAAGGGTTGACTAAATGAATCAGCATTCATTATAGATGGTGGAATTATTGGCTATACTCTGATTCTCTGTCTAAGTGCTGTTGCGGTTAGCAGGATCATCATGACAGACCCAACGGGAGATCAGAGGTTGCCAGGGTAAAGAGTGTCCTGCTATGGTCATTAATCAAACAATAGATGATCTTCCATCTGTATATAAGGAATTTGAAAAAGGAAGCAGTTACTATTATGTTTGATTATACAGCAGTCCAATCTGCGCTTGGATATAGATTCAGAGCTATCAATTATGGAGAATTATATAATATAATCGCTGCTTAGGAGAAGCCAATAGTTGTCCCATGTTGGGAGCTGTTGATGAATCATATAACATAATAAGGCATATTTATGATTTATGGTAAATATCATATCTATCCTAATCAATGGATGTAAAACATATATGACGAATAATACAAAGGTGAGTTATCAGAGGCAATGCATTCGATGGCGAATGGGAAGCTTGAAGGTTTTAAGGAAATGGTAAGTATAGATTTTCTATCTGAAAATTATCACCAATAAGGGATTAAAGAATTTTTGAACCATAAATATAATTACATAAAGATTTTTGAAACTCTAAAGGGGTAGTGATATGGTTATCTAAGATATTATTATATATAATATGCGATATTTTATAAATATCATGCCAATAAATTGACTTATGTTTCTTCCTTTCATTAAGTAAATTAAAGGTCAGATGAAGTTAATAAGAACTAATTCGTTCATAGTATGCTTGAAATTATTAGGAAAATATAATAATAATTGATAAATGATTTAATCTATATACTTATACCACTAGATGAGCTTCTTTCTAAATATCAGCTGATGTACTTAAAGTAATTTCCCATGTCCGACTAGCGAGAAACTGAGTAATGGCCTAAGGATCTATATAATATTTAGAAACCTAAGCAGTTCGGTTTGCGGTTTGCGGTAACTTTATTTTACATATAGTTCTTCTTTTATAATCCTATTCATTTGCTTATTATTTGCTCATCATTTACTGGATTTATACATTAATGTTCCTCTATTTTTAGAAAGATTTTGGCTGCCCTGAGATTTTCATCCCTGAAATTAGTATCTCTACCCTAGCCTACATCTCCATAATGACCGAAGATGCTCATTTACATTGTCAGTGGCTTGGTGTTATCCAAAATAAGGATATTATCAATGTGTCAGTTGATTTCTCGGTCATCTGGAAGCATATCCATCATTAGAATATCCGAAGGATCTTGTCTCGCGGTATAATCTCTAAATAAGCCATTTTAGTACAGATCTACTAATTATCTGTATTTTACTGTAGAATAATTTTCCTTAACAGTTTCATTAGATTTTCGGTCGAATTTTGGAAAAGGTCAAGTAGAGTTTAGCTTTTTTTCTTGATCAAAATAGAAGCTACTTCAAACAGATAATATCGTCTGACTACCACCTGATGTTTCATTATGTTTGATTACTTGTATCAAATATTCTGTCTCAGTTTTGCTTCAACTATGATTGGAAACTGTCTAGCGCCATTTATTTGATATAGCCGGGGTGAATTTTCAGCACGCCACTTGGTTAGATTGACATATTCGCGAGAATTTGAGATTTATGAGGAGATTCGAAATTTTTTTGCGATCGAAAATCAATGCCATACCCACATAGAATCTTATTATAAATTCCGTGTTACAATTTTGAAGAATAGGGCATTTCTCACTAGAATGTTCTTTTATGGAGGCATATTCAGAAGCTAGGCAAAATGTAAGTTTTCTTAACATGGCTTGATTAATTTGAAATGCTGATAATTCTTTTTAAAAGAAGCTATATCGACGATTAAGTTCATTGCGACTTGATCGTAGTGAACGAAATAGAGCGGATGAAATTATTGTTGTAGCTTTTGGCGATGCAGATAAGTTTTATATTTGTTGGAAAGACGAGTGTGGACAAATCCATCAGGGTATGATACTCTCTGCTTATTATTAATTGAAATGCTAATATGCAATATAGAAAGTCAAGGACTACCGGAACCATTGCAAGAGTGGTTGTTTCCAAAGGATGGATCTAATCGTGACTTCTTCACTTTACAAGTAATACTTGGTCATGGAGACGAGTACTACGCAAGTGACAAACATGGAAGCATTTCGAACACAAATTCTGAAACTAGACCAAAATTGGGTAGCTACTCCCAATATACAAATTCTCAACTACGCGATCGCTTTGCTCTTACAAAACATAAATACAACGCTTCGTCTTCAACACGACACATGCGATATGATCGATCAGATATGTCACGAATTGACCTTAACGAGGTTTTGAACCGACAAATAAGGCGACGATCCACTTTCTCGGCAAGAGACTCTTCATTCAGCACCATATGGTCCACTGAATCAAGATCGCGATCCCGATCAACAAGCTGCAGCTATGATTCTACTGCCTCACATTATAACGCTTCATACTCACCTACTACGACTGAGTCTAACATCTCCCGTGGAAGTACACTAGAAGATCTTGATGCTTTTGAGACCAGAAATTATGTTGATGTTGCAGTGCAAACAGTAAGAGATATAGATAGGAAATCTCCTTTCCAAACTATCAACTCAAATTATTCCATTACAGCTAGTTCTTCAAAGCAAGTCGGAACTTTACACATGTATTTTCGTTCACCGGGTTATCGACTTGGTGATTTCTTTGGAGCCGGTCCTCTGTCATAGTTTCTTATAGTTTTCGGTTGCTCAGATGGGGTAATGAGCAGGAAAGTCAATGGCCACTCCAATTTTTTGTAGAACATGACGTTACGTGAACACATCTGGAAATTAATCGGGTTGAAAATATGTACTGCTGCATACATCGTCAATAGTCTACATGTTAACGACTACTGTCATAAATTTTTAGTCGATCAGAATGATACTAATAAATATAGCCCAGATTACTATTTTGCAAGCGGGGAATACTAATGCAGAAATAGCATGAAAGTACTCATAATCGCGGAAAATAATTCGATATAGTTTTCTAGACTATGGTACTCTATTTATTAAGTAATGCATTTGATATCACTATATAATATCATATAAGGTAGATATTCAACTAGTGAGATTTATAGTTCTGAAAAATATTATGATAAGTATGCTCTATCACTGACGTGGTGTTACGAGGTAACATGGTGATCACGTGAAGGGAGAGCGATCATGTTGATCATTCATGATCGAGGTGATCAGTCTGCATAAGCGAAAGGTTGTGATTCGCTCAGAAGGATTGAACGAATCAGGAATGCAGTTAGTGATCAGTCTGATCATTCATGATCAGAATGATCGCTGAGAATCAGGCAACAAGGACACTGGAACAAAGGTCTATATAAACATCCTGTCCCTACTGGCATTACACCTCTTTGTGATTCAACTGTCTAGTTTACCTAGTAGTTAGTTTGAATACATTCTCATACTCTTGAAGCTCAGACTATTCTAAGTCATAAACGACAAATAAGGCGACGATCCACTTTCTCGGCAAGAGACTCTTCATTCAGCACCATATGGTCCACTGAATCAAGATCGCGATCCCGATCAACAAGCTGCAGCTATGATTCTACTGCCTCACATTATAACGCTTCATACTCACCTACTACGACTGAGTCTAACATCTCCCGTGGAAGTACACTAGAAGATCTTGATGCTTTTGAGACCAGAAATTATGTTGATGTTGCAGTGCAAACAGTAAGAGATATAGATAGGAAATCTCCTTTCCAAACTATCAACTCAAATTATTCCATTACAGCTAGTTCTTCAAAGCAAGTCGGAACTTTACACATGTATTTTCGTTCACCGGGTTATCGACTTGGTGATTTCTTTGGAGCCGGTCCTCTGTCATAGTTTCTTATAGTTTTCGGTTGCTCAGATGGGGTAATGAGCAGGAAAGTCAATGGCCACTCCAATTTTTTGTAGAACATGACGTTACGTGAACACATCTGGAAATTAATCGGGTTGAAAATATGTACTGCTGCATACATCGTCAATAGTCTACATGTTAACGACTACTGTCATAAATTTTTAGTCGATCAGAATGATACTAATAAATATAGCCCAGATTACTATTTTGCAAGCGGGG